TTAATTTCCTGTCGATATGCAAATCTACAAAGTATTTCCTAATCATCTAAAAAGTTTCATGAAATTCTGATGTATGGTTTCAGTGGAGTTGTGATGATAAACTGTTGCAGTAGTATATTTCAGCAAAAAATTCTAAGTTCAAAGGGGCATAACTCCTAGAAAAAAATTTGAATCATAATTTCCTGTCGATATGCACATCTACATAGTATTACCTTATTATCTACAAAGTTTAATGAAATTCTGTTGTGTGGTTCCAGAGGACTTGCAATGACAAGAACTGGACTGATGGATGGACAGACAGGTCAAACATATATTGGGGTATAATAATGCCAGCTAGATTAATATATGCAACTACCTATTACACAATATTAACTGTAAATTAGATAAATTTTTACAAAGAAAGATTGTTGTGACAGAAATTGATTAAATTGGCCAATTCAAAGTAGAAATAAACTAGATGTGTCGGAACGACACGAATGGCCCTGTCTCAAAAAGTTGAAAATCTGCAATTTCAACAACACATGTGGACACAAACATGCATGGATAGTATCCAGCTCTCAAGACCAATACTAGTTTGATGAAAAATTTCCTTGATCAATGAGTACCGGTAGTTAAATTTCAAACTATCAGCAAACAGGAAGTGGATGTACTGCAGATCTAACAAGATGTGTTGAAACGACATGAAAATCAGCATAGCGGCACAAAACATAAACTTGATCTGTAACTCATCATGGTTAACTCACATCAGAAAAATCAGCCCAATATCTGAAGGTGTTTAGAAAACAAGAGGCTCTCAAGAGCCTGAATCACTCACCTGTATTTCAGAGAAGATTTTTAAATGTTAGCAAACTTGATGAACAAATTGTGTAAAATTGTCTTTAAAGGGCAATAACTCCTTAAGGGGTCAATTGACAATTATGGTCTTACTAACTTTTTTGTAGATCTTACTTTGCTAAACATAATTGCTATTTACAGTTTATATCTATCTATAATAATATTCAAGATAACAAAAAACTGCAAAATTTTTCTTAAAACTACCAATTTAGTGGCAGCAACCCAACAATGGGTTTTTCGATTCATCTGAAAATTTCAGGGCTGATAGATCTTGACCAATTGAACAATTTTACCCCAAGTCAGATTTGCTCTAAAAGCTTTAGTTTTTAAGATATAAGCCAAAAACTGCATTTGACCCCTATGTTCTATTTTTAGCCATGGTGGCCATGTTTGTCGATGGATCAAAACTTCAGATACAATTTGTAAACAAGATACCCTAAGGAACATTTAGTCAAAGTTTGAAGGTATTTGGCCAAGTAGTTTCAGAGGAGAAGATTTTTGAAATAGTTTACGACGACGGACGCCAAGTGATGGCATAAGCTCACATGGGGCCCGAAAGGGCCCCGATGAGATAATAAAATGCTTCGCTGGGCGCAGCTTGATACGACCGCAGATGTCGAACCCTGAACAGTTGGGGCAAGTATGGACACAACATTCAAGCTTGATACAGCTCTGAATTTGGATTGTGATTAAATATTTGACACAGCATAGGTTTCTGACACAGAAAGAATGTGGTCTAAGAACTTCAATTTTTTTAATTTACCTATTATGGTCCAATGTCCAAAATCAAAATACATGGTTAGATTCAGCATATCAAAGAACCCCATATATTCAATTTCTGTTGAAATCAAACAAAGTTTAATTTTGGACCCCAACTTAGACAAACTTGAAAACTGGTCCCATAATCAAAAATCTAAACACATGTTTAGATTCAGCATATCAAAGTACCCCAAGAATTCAATTTTTGTTAAAATCAAATTAGTTTAATTTTGGACCCTTTGGACCTTAATGTAGACCAATTTCAAAAACGGGACCCAAAATTAAAAATCTAAAAACACGGTTAGATTTGGCATATCAAAGAACCCCAATAATTCAATTTTTGATGAAATCAAACAAAGTTTAATTTTGGACCCTTTTGACCACAATATGAACCAATTTGATAGCGGGCCTACAAAATAAAAAATCTAAATACATGGTAAGATTCAGCATATCAAAGAACCCCATATATTCAATTTTTGTTGAAATCAAACAAAGTTTAATTTTGGACACCAATTTGGACCAACTTGAAAACTGGGCCAAAAATCTAAAATCTAAATACATGTTTAGATTCAGCATATCAAAGAACCCCATATATTCAATTTTTGTTGAAATCAAACAAAGTTTAATTTTGGACCCCAACTTGGACCAACTTGAAAACTGGTCCCATAATCAAAAATCTAAACACATGTTTAGATTCAGCATATCAAAAAACCCCAAAAATTCAATTTTTGTTAAAATCAAACTAACTTTAATTTTGGACCCTTTGGACCTTAATGTAGACCAATTTAAAAAAGGGGACCCAAAATTAAAAATCTAAATACACGGTTAGATTTGGCATATCAAAGAACCCCAATAATTAAATTTTTGATGAAATCAAACAAAGTTTAATTTTGGACCCTTTTGACCTCAATATGAACCAATTTGAAAGCGGGTCCACAAATAAAAAATCTAAATACATGGTTAGATTCAGCATATCAAAGAACCCCAAGAATTCAATTTTTGATGAAATCAAACAAAGTTTAATTTTGGACCCTTTTGACCTCAATGTGGACAAAGTTGATAACGGGGCCCAAAAATCAAAAATCTAAATACATGGTTAGATTCAGCATATCAAAGAACCCCATATATTCAATTTTTGTTGAAATCAAACAAAGTTTAATTTTGGACCCCAATTTGGACCAACTTGAAAACTGGGCCAAAAATCTAAAATCTAAATACATGTTTAGATTCAGCATATCAAAGAACCCCATATATTCAATTTTTGATGAAATCAAACAAAGTTTAATTTTGGACCCTTTTGACCTCAATGTGGACAAAGTTGATAACGGGGCCCAAAAATCAAAAATCTAAATACATGGTTAGATTCAGCATATCAAAGAACCCCATATATTCAATTTTTGTTGAAATCAAACAAAGTTTAATTTTGGACCCCGATTTGGACCAACTTGAAAACTGGGCCCATAATCAAAAATCTAAATACATGTTTAGATTCAGCATATCAAAGAACCCTAAAAATTCAATTTTTGTTACAATCAAACTAAGTTTAATTTTGGACCCTTTTGACCTTAATGTAGACCAATTTGAAAACGGAACCAAAAATTAAGAATCTAAATACACGGTTAGATTCGGCATATCAAAGAACCCCAATAATTCAATTTTTGATGAAATCAAACAAAGTTAAATTTTGGACCCTTTGGACCTCAATGTGGACCAATTTAAAAACGGGGCCCAAAATCCAAAAACTTAATACACGGTTAGATTCAGCATATATCAGAACCCCAAGAATTCAAGAATAAAACCCCATTGAAATTGATCAAGAAATAAGCAATTTATACGAAGTATCTTCTTTTGCACAATACTGTGCAATTGAATATTTCTTGCTATTGTGCAATACTGTACAATTGACAATTTCTTGCTATTGCGCAATATTGTGCTATTGGATATTTCTTGCTATTGCGCAATACTGTGCAATTGAAGATTTCTTGCTATTGCGCAATACTGTGCAATTGAAGATTTCTTGCAATTGTGCAATACTGTGCAATTGAAAATTTCTTGCTATTGCACAATACTTATTATATAATAATTTACACATCCTGTTTGGTGTGTATCTCCTACCATATCATTATTATTTGCTTTTAAATATTAATCAGAAATAACCAACTTAAAATGGAAAATTTTAAAAGAAAAAAAAAAAGAAAAAAAGAAAAAAAAAAAATCCCCCCCCCCAAATTTTTTGAACCCCCTTATGATTCATCACCCCCAAACTCAATCCCAGCCTTCCCTTTGTGGTATGGTACCTTGCAGTACAATTTCAGAGAGATCCATACACTTGAACACAAGTTATTGTCTGGAAACTAGAAAAATGCTTATTTTTGGCCCCTTTTTGGCCCCCAATTCCTAAACGTTTCAGGCAATTACCCCCAAACTCAATTCCAGCTTTCCCTTTGTGATATGGAACCTTGTAGTACAATTTCAGAAATATCCAAACACTTACACACAAGTTATTGTCATGAAACTAGAAAAATGCTTGTTTTTTGCCCCTTTTTTGGCCCCTAATTACTAAAATTTTGAGGCAATTACCCCCAAAATCAATTACAGCCTTCCCTTTGTGATATGGAACCTTGTGGTACAATGTCAGAGAGATCCATACACTTACACACAAGTTATTGTCTGGAAGTTACAAAAAATGCTTATTTTTGGCCCCTTTTTGGCCCCTAATTCCTTAACTGTTGGTACCATAACCCCCAAAATCAATCCCAACCTTCCTTTCGTGGTATTGAACCTTATGGTAAAATTTCATGGAGATCCATTCACTTAAACTAAAGTTAGAGTGCGAAAACCAATGTGTCTTCGGACGACGCCGGACGACGACGACGCCAACGTCATACCAATAAACGACCAAAAAATTTTCAATTTTTGCGGTCGTATAAAAAGTCTATATAACTGTGATTTTCAACAATTTATCAAAGTCCTAAGCCCGTAATTTCGGCAAAAATTAGTAGAGCAGAACGAAACTTAAACTTGATCTGTAACTCATCATGGTTAACTCACATACCAAAAATCGGCCCAATATCTGAAGGCGTTTAGAAAAAAATTGCGTATAATGGAATGATGGAATGACTGAAAAGGGTAAAACTATATGGCCCCGACAACTTTGTTGCCGGGCCATAAAAAAGGTAACAGACAAAAGACTATCATTATTATGACAGGAGACATATGCCAAGCAATGGGTAAAACTCAACACTGGACCTTAAGTCCTGTCGTCCAGGTGAGCTTATATCTATATAGGACAGCTACACCACTTATCATCTGTTCACCATGAACAAGACATGTACTCCATAACATTGTTTATCAAAATATAATTCTTCTAAGCATGACTTTAAGATTTGTTACAAAGATAACTGAAATAAGAGTTTTCATAGTTTATTTGGATTTACAACAAGACAGAAAATATAACAAAAAATGTAATATTGCTGAAAAGAATCACAACAATGAAAATGTGGTTTTAACAAGGTCTGGTTCTTGTTGTTTTATAATAGTATTAATAAAGATCAAACAAATGTACACTTATGCTGTACTTTATAACCTTGAATGGATTTCAGATAGGATTGTTTTCAAGCTATAAATCTTACGACTTATCACAAATACTGCACACAATTAAAATACCTTTCAATTTATACCAAAAATTGCAATCAAGTTAGTAGAATAGTTAAATGTTATATAAAACAATGATCTAACCAAATGAAAAATGTTTCAACACACAGAACTCTTTTTTTAATTTGAACAGGATTTTTTTTTATTGATTTGTAATCTGTGTTTGGCTGTTAGCAGTATCAAATAATAAAAAAAGAGTATTTTATACTTAGTGAACCAAATACTTTATCCATTCAACAAAAAAGTTTGAAATTTACTATCTGCATGTTATATTCAATGAAAGCAAAACAAAGACTGTGCTTACAGAAAAGGTGGGGAAGGGTATAAAAATGATAAATCTTAAGAGTACAATCTCAGGGGGACTGAGTATATTTTAATTAGGCCAGACCAAATTAGTTTGTTGTATGCCACACATCTGCCCCTAAATTGGAATGATTGATATTTTTATTTTCATACACCTTAATGTTTAGAAACAAAAGAATATTATTTGAAAAGGCAAATCTTGTTTTTCTTCTATGATAATGTTCACATTTTCATCATATTACTTTCCGGTGGACACTAAGTCTTGCCTAACCAATCATATCCTTATAACATATTCCATGTGAAGTTCTCCGAAGCTGTTTTCCATTCATAGCTGCTATCTTACAATATAAAATGCCTCACAATACTGTAAAATTAGTCTTTTTTCAAAATTTACGGTTTGAACAACAAATCAAACTGATGTGGCCTCACTTTAACATTAACAAATGCCTAACGATTCATTCTAACTATGTGCCAAAAGCTGCAATTTTAAAAATAAACCAATATGTTCTTGATCAAATCAATAATTCATTTTTAGAAAAATGCTTTACTTTCTACTTATAGATATGGATGCTTTTAACATGTTTAAAAGATAATTAACAATGTCAAACATAAATGATAATGTGAAATTTTAACATTATGTAGATTAAAGCAGGAAAGACAGCATTTTCTATCTTGATCTAGTAAAAAAATAAAAGAATCTACATTTATAGAAAGCATATTACAAAAATATGAGAATTAAAATTGTATGATGAATAATATGCAAAATAACTCATCATAGAACCTGAAAGTTTGGTATATATGTTACATCTAAGTATTAAAGAGATCTCAAACAGAAATTTGTACTTTGCCAGTAACTAAATATTAAACTGCAACAATAGAATGAAAAATTTAGGATAGAAATTGTATTATTATAATGCAAACCCTTTTCTGATAAAGCATTTTTTTTTAAAAGTTTTATCCTATTTCAGGTCTCAAAACATTATCTTTTCAAATTATTAGCCAACCCCTATAACTATGAATTTTCTAAAGAAACTAAAATACAGTTTTCAAATAAGGTGTCAAAAGTTCACACACCAAAATTTAACCACTAAGTTTTGGTAACCTCCCCCCACCCAAAAAAATATCTTGTTTTGAGGCAATTAAATTTTCAACTTGTATGTCATGGACTTGCATTGAGGTCTCAACAGATTTAGCCTTTTTAATTTTAAATATAAACAAAATATACATTGTGGTAAATGGCTACACCAAGGTTGATTTGAAAAAGAACAATTGCATTCTCAGACAAAAAATTTAACAAATATGCTACATACAATTTTTTTTTAATTTGTACAAAATTCTATTTTTTCCACACAGTTTACAATCTATTTATAGTACTGTCTGTACTATCTAACAAAATTCCTGAGTAAAATTATTTTCAGTTCATTTAGTAATGAATTTAAATGTAGATGGCATAGCACATTACTGAAAATGATTATTAAATTATATGAATTTATATCTTATTTTGTTAATATATGATAATACATGCTGAATACTAATTTGAATAATTACTTCTAAATTGCATATACTAACTGATTATAAAATTTTTACAAAATAAATTATCATTAAGTTGTAAACCTGAAATTCTGATTTAGTGGAGAATATCTTTTATATGTCATGTTATATTTATACATGCAGTGATGCTTAAATGTGCATTGAACCTGGATTCAGCCAAAGCATCTCTTGTAACATAAAACATTATTTCTTTTTAACTGTATGCTATGCCAGACCCTACAGGATATCCCATAAGGTTTCTTTTTTTTTTTTATTATGTCTAGTAACTTTGTACACATAATCAAAACCAAAATGACAGCACCATCAAATGAAAAAAAGTAATTACACAAAATTTTCCGAATCTTAACACAAGTTCATTCTATAACTGTTTCTAACAGAATACACATAAAAAAGGCTGAATTAAAACAAACAATTATAACGCCTCCCTTATATCACGATGTCAGAATGATGATATATAGATATAAGAATTAACACAGATATGCATACAAATAAGCAATGCAAATAATAATAAATAGATTCTATAAAATATCAACGACATATTAGTAACTAATTAGGGTTTTACCTGATTAACAAAAGTAAATATTCTGTACAGATCTCTATTGCTACACATATGTACACTAGTCTAATAAACTACATAAATAAGCACCTATATATAAATATGTATGATGATCAAAGATAGGATTTAATATACAAAATGAGTCGGACACAAAAATTATTATAAAACCCCACGTTTTAATTTTCAATTTGTATCAACTCAACAACTTCTACAATCATTCACAGTATTATAATCCTCCTTGCACACATTTACCTTGTTATGCATATGTAAACCCTGTAGTATTGTTGTATTACAAACATTTTTTGACCAATATATCTGCTTTTTAATCTCATTTTCTAATCAACAATTTCCTCCCTTTGGCAGCAGAAATTTAAATGCTTTCTTTAAAACTATCATGGATTAATTCAAGCAACAGATGACATTAATCACACAATTTTCATTTAATATCAGTAAGTTTTAAACAGGGGTAGAAAAAAAAATGATTTTACCGAACATCTGACAGTAACGAAATATTAAGATAATTAAAATTTGTTCATTACTTACCCATTTGTGGTTAAGGTGGTACCAAACACCTCGACTAAAATTAATTTAGCTTGTTTAATATTCATAAAATTTTGACAAAATATTTAATTTAAAACGACCCTTTGACAAAAATATAAAAATTTCAAAAACCACACACTTTATCGGAAAAATTTTATTGGATATATAGCAGTTTGACAAACACTAATTTTGATCATTGAGAATCTTAATATTTCCTTAACAATAGAATGTGATTAAAACGTTCAGCTGATTATGTGATTAAGTGTAATGTACCACCTTAAAATGATATTGATAAAAATGAAAATGATGGAAGACACATATCTAACATATAATCCTTGAATGCAATGCATGTCCCTTTTTGTAAACAATGCCTGATCTAATATACATTATTTTTTTGGTTGTTAAATTGGGAATTTCTGTTTGAACAGTAGATTATTGCCGAAAGAATATAAATCCAAGTGTTTTTGATAAAACAAAAAATTTCAGTTTCTGGAGTTTTGGGGTGAAGATCTGTTTAGGTATAATTGATGTCACCTGAATGCATGTAATACATGGACTGCTTTTTAAAAAAAAATTCAGAATCTCATTTTATCAAAATATGAAAATCTAGGAAATTTTATTGTTGAATCAACTTTTTCTAAACTTTTTCACATTAAAATAGATTCCTTTTTATGTTTCTAAGATAAAAATAAGTTAAATATAATGAAAGCTTTCTATTCTTTGATATTGTTGTTAGCTGCATTTTTTGTGTTAATATTGAAATAAACATTTCTGTGAAGATTAGAAGCATTTCCTCCCTACCTGATATACAGTATATGGCCATTTTAAAATTTATTGCTAAAATTAAAATAAGTCAATCATAATCATTACATATATTACTTTTAATGCAAGTTTTACAAGTAAAATTTTGAGAGATTAATTTAGACACACAACTTAATACACTGAACATATATATTATATGAATCATTTTTTATAAGACTTTTTTGGCAAAATTTTCCTACTGATTTAGTATATTTCTGGGAATGAACTAACAAACTTAGTAAATGCAAGAATGATCTGACATATTCAGTGTAGAATGTAACTTATTCTTATAAAGAACTGGTTTAAAAGGGAAAAAGAGTGTCAATATTGGTGTATATTCTACTGAAAGCTCTATTCTTCCAAATATGTTGCATCTTTACAGTTTTTGATTTTTGAAAAATTTGTATATTAAGAATTTTAGTAGATAAAACACTTATTTTTTTCTGCTTCAGGAACCTATATTCACTAATCACTACAAAAGAGCCAGTACTTTTTTTTTCAAAAACTCACTATAAATGTGTTTGGATATGTAAATTTGCCAAAATCAGCACATTGTAGCATTGACTATAAATTTGAAAGACATGATTTTCAGACTAATCAGGTCATTTTGTCATTTGCGGTCTATGCCTAATGTTAGAGTACATTTATTTGACAGTGAAATTATATGATTGAAGGGTTATTAGGATGATTTTAAGATTGAACCATTTCACTTAAAAATTACGTACCCATTTAAGGTAAACTAAAATAAAGATAAAAACCTTTTTTTCCAAATCGGTTTAGGATTTCAAATATATACACTACATAAACGTTTAAGATTTGAATTCTGAAAATTTTCGCTTCTTCAATAACTTTGCAAACACTACTGTTTATTTGTTAATGCTTGCACAAAACTTGTGAACCAATCATTCTTTCAACACAACCTATGCACATACACTTTAAAATTGTTGTTAATGACATACAAATTCATGATCCTCAATGATCCTGCTGACCTAATATTAATCTACTCTCACTACTCATCATTAATGATATAGGAAGTTATATTTTATAATTTAGAGATGCTACATTTTTTATACTATTAAAAAGTAATGTTATTAAAATATCAACTGAGAAACAAACAAATGCACTATTTTAGTATAAATAAATAAATAAAATACATGTACATTTTGCTGTACCAAATTTACAGTACTTTCTGTACCAAGACATACTGAACTAACAAAAATGACTGGATGAAATGTTGGGGCAAGTTTTTGAAATCAGAATATTTTCACAACATTTTTACCTTAATCAATACAAGTCATATTTTCCTTGTGTATCTTTATCAAAATATACATGTATATAGACTCTGAATAAACCTTTAACTCTGAATTGTAATGAAAAAGATTTTTTTTTACATTTATCTTTAAAGCTTGCCCTTTGAACTTTGACATTACCCTTTTCATAGTTGTGGCATTCCCATGTTTGACTAAGTAACAAAGCAGTATATGACCTTCTGTTCAGTTGATATCATGTCATCAGGGTTTTGTTATCCATTAAACAGACAATTAGGCCTCTGACCTTGAAAATTAAGTATACCAAGTTTTATGAAGTTTGATTTCTCTATATCTTGTCAAAATGATGGCTTATTCAGAATCAAGATATAGGAAAGTAATCATTTTAGTATGTATCATATGAAGTTGTTGATTACTTAGAGAAGCACATATGTCATACCACACTAATTAAACTAATTTGTCTGCAATAATATCTATAGCTAACCTTGTCTATAGATTAAAATAATGCAGCACATATTTTGTATGATTATTAAACATAATAATCTTTGCATCAATCAAATAACAAATATTGCATCTTTTAGAAATCAAATATATGTTCTAATTATGTACTGAAACACTTAAACAGAAATTAATGCCCTATATCTTACTTCTAATCTTCATTAATTTATCTGTCAATTTTCACATACACCAATAACCTTATAATTTTGATGTTGAAAAAGTCAGTTTATAAAAAGATTAATTCAAACAAAAGTCATGTGTGTGTTTTTACAGCCTAACCCTTAAACTATTCATTTTCTCTATCACAAAAAATAATTATTCTTTCAAATGAAGTTTTAACCTAACAGCCACATCATTTGGCTACATCTCACTCTAACTTTACAATTAACAAATTTTTGCAATCAGTTATATTTAAAATTAACACATACCCACCAACAAGATCCTCTCACATGACCCGTAGAACTAACAAAAAGACAGTCAGCATGCTAACAGGTAAGTAGAACATGTCCTCTTGACACATTAGTAAAATATGTCTTATTGAGGTATTACAAACAGAATATTTCCTTTCCATGGTGCTGATAGATACATTTATCAGCAAATCTTAATTCAAAAAATAACTGATTGATTTACTATGAATATGAAATAAATTAGAATTCTTGGTCACACAGATGTCTCCCTAAATACTCGTGTAGATTTTCCATTTTGTTGACGTATATGAATGTATTTAGTTGTGTCAACATGAGAAATTTTCACTTGTGTACTAGGGACAATAACTTCTGTTGCAGTAGGGAGCTGTAACAATTCAGGGGCAGAAACTGTTGGTGCTGAAAAAGAAATATGAAAAACATTAACAATTTTCAGCTTTGGCTTTTATAAGTTTTTTTTTTTTTATGTCAGTTCATGCAGAATATTTACTGGTATAATTTTCATTTAAGGCAAACTCATGTCAAAGAAATCATTCTTTGAAATCTTTTATTTCTTCTAAGAATCTGATACTTTGGACCATGTCACCCTACACTTATTATATTAATGAGCAAAAAAGCTTCCAAAGGGCTTACATCCCTCATTTTGCACATATACCATATATTGATAATAGGGATACTATCCCAAAACAGGATCACAACAGAACTAATTTACTAATACATGTATGTGACCAAAACTGGCTTAGAAAATTGTGGAATTGCAAAGACAATGATTGATGTTATTTACCCTTTAAGTTCTAGAGACAATATCTATAATAGAAAATAATTACTAAATAGGTTCCTAAAGTTGACTCTGCCAAGTACAATTCAAAAGAGATGACTTTTTACTGTTAAATCTATGTTAAGTAGTAGAGTTGGCCATCGTTTGATTTTGTTCAGATGAAATATTTATAACATCTACAGTATATACATGTACTTTAGTATAAGTCAATCCACTTATCAGTTGATTTACATTTTCATGTCAGAAATCCAAAAATTTAGCAATGACCCTCCTATAATATCATAGTTCATGAGGTAAAATGGTAGAATGATTAAATGAACAATTATGTGACAATCATGTGGTTTATAAAAAAAAAAATCCAATTGGTTAAAAACAATTAAATGACAAAGAATTAGAGAATCAGGTTACATTTTGTTACAAATCTGTTCTTACTTAATACAGTTAACATCATATTTTATTTTGTGTTGTATTTTAGTATTTCATCCACCTTATTAATAGTTTACCATGCATTTCCATTATTCTGAATAATATCATTAGCATAAATAAAGCTCTGTATAATACAATTACACAAAATACATACATCATCTGGACAATATTATAGCAGTGAGTTTTGTTAAAGTTACGTATCATTTATGAAGGTTTGAAAAAGATTATACTGCAAATGGATCTTTAAATGTATGTATCATCCACACAAAGTCCGTGCTTCAAAAGGATTTATTAAATATAGTTTTTATTCAATTCTTTTAATTTGTAAATTTCATTATACTCAGTTTCGACTGACTTGATTTTGTAGACTAAATGACAAATTCCTATATACTAAAATTTACTAATATAGACATGGCACTTATGTTACACAAAAGTGCACACGCTGAAATGACTCGCCTACTATATTGACCATTGATTTTATGTTGATAGTCCTAAATATAAAGTTTTACTACAAGTATCACATTAACATTTATGATCCAAGAAAATGAGGTCAAGGTCAGATAAACCAAGCCTGAAATACTTGTACACCTTTAATACAAACATTCCATACACCGAATATAGATGACCTATTGCTTATAGTATAAAAGAAACAGACCAAACCATGGAAATTCTATATTGACCTATGAACCATGAAAATGACTTCAAGGTCAGATGAACCCTGCCAGACAGACATGTACAATTTAACATCATTCCATGCATCAAATATAGTTGACTATAGCATCTAAGAAACAAAGTTAACCAGGAAAACTGAACATTGACCAATGAACCATGAAAATGAGGTGAAGGTGTGATGATACCTGCCAGACAGACATATACCCCTTACAATCATTCCATACACCAAATATAGTTGACCTATTGCTTAAAGTTTAAGAAAAACAGACTAAAACACAAAACCTTAACATAGACCAATGAACCATGAAAATGAGGTCAAGGTCTAATAAAACTGGCCAGACTGACATGAACATCATAAAACATTTCCATACACCAAATATAGTTGACCTATTGCATACAGTATAAGAAAAACAGGCAAAAAAAAAAAAAAAAACTTTTACCACTGAACCATGGAATGAGGTCAAGGTCAGATGACACCTGACAGTTGGACATGTACACCTTACAATCATTACACACACCAATTAAAATAGACCTTTGCTTATAGTATCTGAGATATGGACTTGACCATGAAAACTTAACCTTGTTCACCGATCCATGAAATGAGGTCAAGGTCAAGTGAAAACTGTCGGACAGGCATGAGGACCTTGCAAGGTACGCACATACAAAATATAGTTATCCTATTACTCATAATAAAAGTGAAATTAACACTACAAAAAATCTTATCTTTATTTTCAAGTAGTCACTGAACCATGAAAATGAGGTCAAGGACAATGGACATATGACAGACGGAAACTTCATATCATAAGGCATCTATATACAAAGTATGAAGCATCCAGGTCTTCTACCTTCTGAAATAGAAAGCTTTTAAGAAGCTAGTTTAAGCCGCCGCCTGATCACTATCCCTAAGTCGAGCTTTCTGCGACAGAAGTCGCAGGCTCGACAAAAACTATGCATCCTTCAATGAGAAAAAGACACTATAACAGAAGTCTTGGCTTCATCTGTTATGAGGAAATTATGAAGAAATAAATATGTCCAAAAAACATGTAAACCAATAAAAGACAATTCATATAAATTCAAAAAATTTTGTGATAAGCATACCCCCATTCATAACTCAGAAAACAGGAAGAAGGTGTAAAACAGATCCAAAAGGTCCACACAGGTAACAACTCATCATTAAGGCTGCTGACCAAATTTAAATTCATTTTATTCAAAAGAACTTGAGAAAAGTGTGACAAAATTTTTTTAAATTTAATTCAACATATTGAAATATTCAAGGTATCGTCAAACAGGATGTTTGTGTCAAACAGATCCAAAAAGTTCTCACAGATTACAACTCTTCACTGTCAAGGCTGCTCACTAAATACAAAGTCATTCTGTTTTACCTCATCAAAATTGACAAAATTTTAAATTCATTCAAAATTTTGAAAAAATCAAAGTATCAGCAAACAGGGAGTTGTGGCTGACAGATCCACAAATTACTCAATGTTACATCTCATCACTGTCAAGCTACTAACCAAATATTAATTTATTCTGTACAGCGGAACCTAATAAAAGTGTGACGAAAATATTTGTTGAATGGACTTACAGACAAACAGACAAGGGGAATACAATAGAGCCACCATTTAAAAGTGGGGGTATTATTCGGTTGCAAAATTGACCTGACTGTGTTTACTTTTCTGTGTAGGCCCTTTTGGTTTTGAAGCACCCAAATGTTTATGCAATTCGTTTCCTTAAATTTTGGTCTGGAGTGCACCTGATGAAGGTTATTCCAGAAACATTCAGTGTGTGTGCTGAAATCAGTATATATTCATTTATTCTGGAAGAAAAAACATTATTTGACAAAAAAGAGCTAAGAGAGGATATGATTAAAATGCAAAAAAAACAAAGCTTTATTGTGACAAAGCAGTGGAAGTTGTGTACAAGAAGCCTGTGCAAAAGTCTCTCAAAACCATATAATTTCATTTTTTTCTTTTACATACAAAGGAATAAACTAAAATAAGGTAAACAAAAACACTCTTTTTGAAAATAGAACATGCATTTCTAAAACCAGGGACCTTTGGCAGAGGGTCTAAGGAGAATACGAGTTCGAATCCCACACATGGCATGTGCGCTATGGGCAGATTGACTATGACTGTCAGTTTTCCTACCCAAGTTCGGTGGTTCTCTCTGAGAACTCTAACTCCCACCTCCAAGAAAAACTGACCCCATAAAAATGGCACAATATTTTTATGTCTACTACTTTCATTCATCTATAGCAATTTGAGGAAGGAAGACCCTTTTTTCACTTCTCATCTAAGAAGTATAATATTAGGTTGTCAAATCAACAGGTTTTTACATCCTATTCACCAGGAAATTTGTATTTCGCATTGATTTTAAAGGTTCATATATACCAAGGAAATCTACAAATATCAGTCCCCCACATATAATGAACCTACAGTAAAATACAACAACAATTATAAAGTCATAGGTTTCATAACGAGTTAGAATTGGATATCGCTTGATATCAACTAGAGTTATTTAATTTCAATACAATAATAAACGAGCCTTTGTCGAGTTTATTATTACTATCTAAATTTAATAACGAAATCCAATTCTAACTTGTTATGAAACCTATGACTTTATAATTGTTGTTGTATTTTACTGTAGATTCATTATATGTAGGGGACTGATATTTGTAGATTTCCTGGGTATATATGAACCTTCAAAGTCTTAAAGCGAAATCCAATTCTCACGAGTTGTTAAACCTACTTCTCTTATGGTCTAAACACTCTCATTGTGTTAAATTAAAAATTATGCGAATCGTTGATTTTGCACATACCAGTATGAAATGGTGTTCTATGGTCTCATGATGCTGGATAAGCCAATCAAATTAATGAAGTTTTTGTATCACTTTTTGTATCACACTCTGTGCAGTGTGATATGAGAAATATGTCTTTATATATATATAATTATGCAAGAAATAGATAACAAACCTCAACCATAAGAAAATGTATATTAACTAAAAGAGTGTAGAAGTAATGTGTTCTTAGACATTCAAATCATCTGCCCAAGATACATTCAAAGAGTAAATCTTTTGGTGCTAAAATGAATTACCTGTTTTAATAAAAATTCTTTTGAATTGATCATGAATAGGAATGAAATATGGATTCTTGGGAAACCTTATTTTCAATTTAAAGGATTTTTTTTTCAATAAGTGCAATGAAAGGAAAATCCCAAAGATATCAACATAAATATGGATTAAGATGATATAAATAATATGGATTAAGATGATATAAATGCTGTGCAGATTAACTAAATAAAATAACAATAAATTGCTTCGCCGAGCGCAGCTGGATATGACCGCAGAGGTCCAACCCTGAACAGTTGGGGCAAAAATGGACACAATATTTGCGCTTGATACAGGTCAGAATTTGGATTGTAATTAAATATTTGAGACATAATAGGTTTCTGACACAGAATAACTGTAGTCAAAGAACTTGGAATTGGTTATACAGTTTGAATTTATATTCAATTATGCTTTTGTGCAATACACTTTGCTGTTGTGAATTGATCCCCCCTCCAACCAAAAAAAATTTTTTTTATCCCCCTCTTTTTTTTTGCTTTTGTGCAATACACTATGCTGTTGCGTATTGAGACAAGACAATACAATATTTCTTTATACATAATTTAAAAGCAGTGTAACGGAGGTAATCAAAACTTTGTGTTTGGATTACCTCCCTTACACTGCTTTTAAATTGTCTTAAGGAATTGTCCATTAACCAGGAAACCCTTGTTCTTCAATTTTGACCCTAATTCCTAAATGGTTCGAGCCATAACCCCCCATCCCTTTGTGGTATTGAAACTTGTGGTATAATTTCAGAGATCCATACACCGTTCCACAAGTTATTGTCTGGAAACTAGAAAAATGCTTATTTGGGCACCTTTTTGGCCCCTAATTCCTAAACTATTAGGACCATAACCCCCAATCCCAACCTTCCTTTTGAGGTTATAAACCTTGTGTTTAAATTTCATAGATTTCTATTTAATTATACTAAAGTTATTGTCTGGAAACCAACTGTCTTCGGACGACGCTGACAACGACATGATACCAATATACGACCACAAAATTTTTTGCGGTCGTATAAAAATAACAAAAACTAAAAGAAACTAAAATAATAAAACTAAAAATAACAAAAATTAAAATAATAAACTAAAAATAACATAAACTTACTAAAAATAAACTAAACATGAACAATCACAGTACAACACAGGGACAATGCCTCTTTCCATCTTTCTTCTGAGTTGAATTTTCTGTCCTGGGTTTAACAAGTGACACATGCTCATCATGCTCGGCTGTTTCTATAGAGACATGCTTTGTGTTAGTGTTTCCAATACCAGGATTAGTGTTTATTTGTAATTTAATGGGACTGTTACTAGGAGATTCTGAAACATCAGATTCAGTTGTATTTGCAGATAGACAGTCTTCGCTGTTAGCGATGTTATTGTTATAATAATTGGATTTAATCTCATCACTGTCTGAATCTTTCATATCTTCTGATGAAGAGCTGTGGTGACGTGAACGTGGGCGATTTGGCCATCGTAGTAAAACGCTGCGTACTTTCTGTACATGCTTTGCTGCTTCAACAAATGACATTTTTCTGTCTCCCTTTGGGCGTGTCAATTCAATTCCACTTCCACGCTTGCGAATGCTAGCTTTAAAGTCAGGAGAAAGACCGTGTTCACTTTCAAATTGAGCAAAATCATGAATATTAATATCCTCTAAGTCTATAGGGTCAATGATATTGCCATTAATAGAGAGAGACTTTGCAAGAGGCAGGGGGGATTGGGAGGAAACAACACTGTCTTCAAGGTTACCTTGGCTTTTCTTTAAGTGGAAGAACAGAAACACTGGCTAAAAATAGAATAAATATGTGTCAATACAAACATGATGTGAATTAATTTGTACATTTCTTGTATGTAGATGAAGTAAATCTCTGACCAAAGAGTTGTTTTTTTGGCATTTATTCTGTTTAATCAAATGTTAACACATTGAAATTTTACAACAAATCATTCATAATTTTTTTTTAACTAACTATGCTACTCCAATTCTATAAGAAACACAAGAATGTAAATGAAATAGCAAATAATTTTGTTACTCTAGGTCTGTGAGAATAACGAGATATGAAATTCAAAATAACAATACATCGTTAGTAAAACTGATAATAACTCAAAATATACTACCTTCTACAGATTTCAGAGAATTCAGTTGTGAAATACACGATGTCCACAAGAGTTAACTTTATTGACAATGCCCAATATAAGATAACATTTTTTTTATGTATCAGGTAGTCAATAAGTATTACTCAGTCCGTCAGTGACCTAATAGGGCATATACACGGTCCATCAATTTTATATTGGGATTCAAGCTATGCTCTCATTGACGGCCTATGTAATACAATATTTTCCACAAAGGACTTTCCTGATACTGACCAAAGAATACCCCTCATATGAATGACTCATTTACTGTTTGATAGGCATTCAACAATTGTTGTACAGCAAAAATAATATATAAATACCCTACTAAATAATTGATGTTTCTCAAAGGACTATTTGAGACTGGAATAGCCACTAAATCATTCAAGGCTTAGTTACTTGTTAAAACAAATCAGTTTGTTTTTACTTGCACATTTTGATCTGTACAGCACCGTTTTTGCTTGTTAGCTAATAATTGTATAAATTCCATGTAATTAAACATATGTGCACACCATTGTTTAACTAAAAGTGGCAGAGTAATCAGAAGCAGAAGCCTCTAACCAAGGTGTACAAATGGAAATAAACCGTTTTTCCTCAACTACAGTCCATCTTAAAAATTATTTATTTAATAAATCAACACACAACAATAATACAAATGGGTTTTGCTCATTATTGAAAGCTGTATGGCAACCTATCTTTGATTTCATTTACTTCATTTGGTCACTGGTGGAGAGATGTCTCATTGGCAATCATACCACCTCTCCTTATTTTATATAACTAAATGAAGTTGATGAGTTTGCACCATGGACTACCAATTTTGAAGTGCAAGGATAACACCAATTCCCATTGATGATAATACATGTCTGACCTCACCTGAAATACTAATGCCATCTAAAGGTCAATCCTCCTTTTTGCTGTTGCAGGCTTCATGTATCATGATATATCTCAAGCCTTCCTCCCCAAAAAAGGAAACTCAACTTAATTATTAAAGTCCCCTACTGTAAATTGATTTTTTTAACATTTTCTGCTAATTAAATCAAAATGCAGAGGAATGAACACAAGAAATGAATTCCATATCTTGGCAAATAGCTTCATTGAACACACAGCAACACCTATGCTTTTGTCAGTTATGTTATAATTTTCTAGTTGATCCATCCGTAACTAGCAAATTTTTGCTTTTGGTATTAAAAAAAAAACTCTGACCCTTTGGTATGATAATTATATTAGTACTTAATTTATTAACTATACTATAAATACCTTGTGATCTCCCATACAGCTATCTTTACCTATTGTGTCATATTTTGGAACAACTGTGTCATTCTGAAATTGTTATTAAAAAAAACCAGTCAGCATCATTTACACACATATACTTTGATTAATTACTGAAGTATTCACGATAAAAGATTAATAACAGAAAGCTACGACACACTGAATATAAAAAATCATAAAAAATGATTTTGAGGGATATTCTACTTAAAAATAAACAGCTGTGCCAAGAGCGCATGATACATCCTTATTGTGCATATTGAAATTATTTCAAAAGTAAAGTGGGAAATTCAAAAAGCATTTAATCAGAAGCAAATAAAACAGCTTTGTATAAAAACATGCATGAGGATACCCCTAGGCATATAAGTATTGTGTCAATTATGACTGATAAAAGTCCAATAACTCTGAAATGACAACCCAGAAAATTTTCAAAATCAAAAGAGTACATTCACTAATCCCAACCAATCTCAACAACAGTGTTAAGTTTGTAGTAAACATGACATTGAAAGAATTCCTTTTACTTATGCTACTGTCAAAGTCCCATAACTCTGGATTGACATATCAGAATTTTTTTTTAAATCAAACAGTGTGTATTGTTCACCAATTCAAACAATTATGTAAAGTTGTCAGTAAATCAATGCAAACAAACTCAATTCAAAATACAACATGTAAAAAATTTACTTAAATCTGACAAATAAAGTCCTGCAACTCTGGAAAGGAAAAGCAGAAAATTCAAAAAAATGGAAAGGGAGCTTCCTTTCATCAATCCCGACAATACTGTAAATTTCTGTGGAAATCAATCCCCACTTTCTGGAGTGCACACTACAACTTGGAATTGAAAAACAGAAAATTTAAAAAATCCTATGGGAGCTTTCTTTTATCAATCCCAACAATAACATAAAGTTTAGATGAAATCAATCAAGGCATTGCGATATAAAATATTGCTGTAATTCAAACGGTTGAAGTCCCAATAATCTAGAACAATAAAGCAAAAATGTCCTCAAAGGAAGTATCAAAAACCAACAAATCTTGCTTTTTCATATTAATGTCATGAAGTGCAACAATAACTTTACTATTTTAAATATCATATTGTTCATAATTTAATTTTTTTTCAAAGATTATTCACTTGTGTACTATTTATCGGGTCTTGATTTGGTACCAAATTAGTTAATCATGTAATTTAATGACCTTTGTCATTATATATAACCATATATATGTTAATGCCTGTTAACAGTCACACCTTAAATGATTTCATTTGAAGATGATTACAGTATCAAGCCAGTAATACATTACTTTGCAGCAAATGACACTCTCCTTTGAACCTCTATATCAAATTCTTTCCTTTTTATATAGAAATTTATCCTTATTTGAAAATTTTTAGTACACAATTATTGGTTACATATAAGTAAAAAGATATATCTGGGACTACAGTAAATACTTACACATTTACTAATTAACACTAATGTTTTATATGTTGCTGTATATTTTAAACAAGGTATTCTCTGAAAAGTCTATAACACTAATGTTTTACATGTTGCTGTAAATTTTAAACAAGGTATTTCTGCAAACAGTCTATAATGTTTGTAATGTTGGGACTAATTATATTGTATACAACTTCATGGACTTTTCATTTTGGAAAATATCTGCATGTAAAATTTTGAGTTCAAATTTCTGTATCCATTTTCTAATGCAAAAAAACATAACAAATATATCTGTTTAACAAATTTGTTTTGAATATTTATTTTCATTTTCCATACATACTTGTACAATGATATTTTTGGCACTATGGGAGAGCAGTAATCTATCACACCATGATGGACATCTTGTTTTCATATAAGACAAACCATCACTGACATCTTCAGAAAATGGATAACTGTAATGAAAAAATACAAGAATTCACAAGTTGTTGTGTTAAGCACCCCACTTGCAATTCAAATTATAGAGAAAAAAAACCAAACATAAGTTGATGTTCAAGAGATCCAAAAAGCACTCACATGTTACAGCTCATCACTGTCAATCTATTGACTGAATATGAAGACTTTATGTTCAGTTTTCAGCTTGCAAATCAAAAATACATGAGTGATATTTTTTAGCTAATTTTGACAAAACTGAATCAAATTGACTGCTTAAAATGAAATAATATTTAAAATTCCACTTATATGAATGTTTGAGAAATAAAAAAAATTCATACTTTTAATTTTTATTTTTAAATCTAACTAATGCTCCTGTAACTTGGTGGAAAGTTAGTTTCATATTCATATAGTTTTATTCTACTTGACAATCCTTACCTTGGAGGGAAGTTAATCTCATATTCATAAAGTCTATCTTTATAAAGTATCATTTCATTGTCATATTTCCGTAACTGCAAAAAATAAATTAAGATAAAAATCAAACATATTATAATTTTTTTTTATTACCAGCAGCTGTAAAAAAATCTTTAAAAAAGTACAGCTACTGTGGTTTAATTTACTTTCGTGGGTACAGTTTTTCTTGGATTGAAGAAAATTTTTACTTTCATTGATACTTGATTTGTGTTTTAGCCAAAGTTTGCATACAATCCTTTAAAAAATTTATACTTCATTGAACATTTAAATGCTGATTCATCCATACCAATGAAATCCACAAAAGTTGGTACCCAAGGAATAAAAATACATGTACAATTAAATTTTCAGCATGCTGCCAACCCAACAGCTTAATTCAAAATCCTGTCACATTATGGCATTCTCACCTAGGTACTGTATGCTGTTTTATACTTAAGTTGAAAAACAGTATAACTTTGAATTTTCAGAAATTGCTAGCCTGAATATATTAAAAGTTACATATAAATATAAATTTCAGACACGCCATGAGGAAAGGGAGGCTTTGGTTAACTTTCATGAGAGAAAAGTATTTAGAACGATAATTACAAAGTACCTCCCAATATTCCTGAAAATCCATAAGGGCTGTTCCATAAAAACATACATGGGACCCAAATCTCAACTATGGGTGGGTGTCATCTATGTTTTTGCATAGTGGAAATGTAAGTGAAATTTTAATTTGCCTATATGGGTGGCTACCCTATTTTAAAAGTGCCTTCCCTGGGTACCATGTATGTTTTAACAGAACAGCCCTAAGAATTTGTTCATTTTCATTGAAAGAATTTATTTCAAGAATCTTATAAATATTGTGATGTCAGCCTATACATGGTACCTTCAATATTCATTACAGCTTTACCCAATAATATTAGAGCATAAGTTGCTATAGTTGCATCGAGTAAGACTTACGTGTTTGGATTTTTTCAGGAAGATTTCTGAATGTTTTTCATGACAGTCAAAACCTTTAGTTTCAACTGTTAGCACAACCTGTAAAACAGAAAAAGAAATATACAAATAAATGAACAATGACAAGTTTGCCAACTTTGCAGCAAAGTAATACAAATATCTTGCTATTTCATGAAATTAAACTTTTTCTTGTCATTTTCATCGTCACAATAGAAAGAGTTTGACATTACTGACCACAAGGGAAAGTCATTATGTCAATCAATGCAAAAATTATGTCAATCTGAGTTAAATCCTGGAACTCGAAATTGGTGGATAACAGTCACATAGAGGATCATGCTATGCAATTAATATATATGTAATGAATAATTACTAATTAAATGGACAATGACTTAGTTGGAAAAGCTACTTATCTGCATGGAAAACTTATGCTGATGATATTATGAAATATAAATGACCGTTCTCGATTGACCAGAAATCCCACAGTAATTTCTGCAATCTAACATCTTCCTGGCCTATTCTTCGACTCACCTTATCGTTAACCTCTTCAGTATAACATATCTTCCTGACCTATTCTTCGACTCATCTTATAGTTAACCTCTTCAGTATAACATATCTTCCTGACCTATTCTCTGATTCACCTTATTGTTAACCTCTTCAGTATAACACATCTTCCTGGCCTATTCTTCGACTCACCTTATTGTTAACCTCTTCAGTATAACATATCTTCCTGACCTATTCTTCGACTCATCTTATAGTTAACCTCTTCAGTATAACATATCTACCTGACCTATTCTTCGACTCACCTGATTGTTAACCTCAGAATAACATATCTTCCTGACCTATTCTCCGACTCACCTTATTGTTAACCTCTTCAGTATAACATATCTTCCTGACCTATTCTTTGACTCACCTTATTGTTAACCTCTTCAGTATAACATATCTTCCTGACCTATTCTCCGACTCACCTTATAGTTAACCTCTTCAGTATAACATATCTTCCTGACCTATTCTCTGACTCACCTTATTGTTAACCTCTTCAGTATAACATATCTTCCTGACCTATTCTTTGACTCACCTTATTGTTAACCTCTTCAGTATAACATATCTTCCTGACCTATTCTTCGACTCACCTTATTGTTAACCTCTTCAGTATAACATATCTTCCTGACCTATTCTCCGACTCACCTTATAGTTAACCTCTTCAGTATAACATATCTTCCTGACCTATTCTCTGACTCACCTTATTGTTAACCTCTTCAGTATAACATATCTTCATGACCTATTCTTTGACTCAACTTATTGTTAACTTGACTCACCTTATTGTTAACCTCTTCAGTATAACATATCTTCATGACCTATTCTTTGACTCAACTTATTGTTAACTTGACTCACCTTATAGTTAACCTCTTCAGTATAACATATCTTCCTGACCTATTCTTTGACTCACCTTATTGTTAACTTCTTCAGTATAACATATCTTCCTGACCTATTCTTCGACTCACCTTATTGTTAACCTCTTCAGTATAACATATCTTCCTGACCTATTCTTCGACTCACCTTATTGTTAACCTCTTCAGTATAACATATCTTCCTGACCTATTCTTCGACTCACCTTATTGTTAACCTCTTCAGTATAACATATCTTCCTGGCCTATTCTTCGACTCACCTTATTGTTAACCTCTTCAGTATAACATATCTTCATGACCTATTCTTCGACTCACCTTATTGTTAACCTCTGCGGTATAACATATCTTCCTGACCTATCTTCGACTCACCTTATTGTTAACCTCTTCAGTATAACATATTTTATTGACTTGTCCTTTCTTTCCTTTCGTTTGGTTTGAAGTGGTTTTCTTTGTAAGTTCCTGAAACATAAAGCTTTCATTTTACTGTTATTTATTTTCAGTTAATATTATAATAATACACAAATGTAATAATTTAGCAGTTCACTGTTTACACAACCTTCAAGGAAAACTGTAACAATTCACAATGATACTACATTTACACCTTTTCATATGCTAATAATACCATTTCTACCTATTAAAAAATCATATACATTCTCATGAACATTTACTTCTAGAATTATTAGGTAAGGAGTACTAAATTAACAACATTTCATTTTAGTTTGCCAAAATTTTTCAACCATTAAGGAAGAAGTTTGATTAAACTACACTATTAGTTTTAGCACTTACAAAATCTATATAGAATTACATTTTTCCTTTGCACTTATAATATGCATATTAATGTCTATTTATATTACCGTAAATCTAACTACAGTGGATTCATTATTATTAATCATGGGATATAAATTTTTATGGATTTCCTTGGTATATGTGAACCACTAATTTGAATGTTCAACAACAAATAAAATTCCATAGGCCTACATGTACTTTGTTAAAACCACGAAAATAAAATGTTTCCCCAATCCACGTAATTTGGTACCCAAAAAATCAATGAATACACCATATATCAAAGAGCTTAAGCTTAGCATGTTAATCAAAAGCAAAAGGAAACCTAACAACATTTGTATCCCCAATCACTCTGATTAATAACGATTAGTTACTTGTGAAAACACTTAACATATAATAATAAAACGTTATTACAGTGCGAGAGTCAGTCTAAATGTAAGCTGTAAAGAGAGATAACTCTTGTGCATATCTAGATATTTTCAAACTGTACAACTAACAATGAAATAAATACTTTGCTTGGAAGAAGTCAAAATAGAAAGCTATATATATTGACTGTAGACTGGTGGTATCTGATGTCAAGCGGGTCTGGTAATTTCTGTTCTTGACCCTTTATTTTAGAAATGTGAGTATGATTGCGACATGTTTGATTACATTAGCCTATCATTCCTATTAACAGTATTAGTTTTAAGCTATAAAAAGGTATTTAAAACATGCTTCTCATCAATATTTTACAGCAAGTTGACTTCTAATTTTATAGAGATCTTAGTATAATGGTAAACCTAAAGAAAATGAAAAGAAAGTATGCAATATTTTTTTCTAAAAGGTACCCATATAATTGTAGGGACACAATAAGATATTCATTTATTTAAACACAACACAATTTAACATAGATTCTTAACAAAATCCTGATTTCAAAAGTACTTAGTTCAGACCCTGTTCATAATTTTTTTTCTTCCTTCTTATTTTTGCAGTTTTTTAGGGTTTTTTATCTGTTTTTATAAATAGAAATTAAAACTTAAACATGTACTGGAATGTTATTGTAATTGAAATAGTATGGTAAGCTTGTATGCAGGCACTTCTGATGGTTGCTTGTGAGACTATGTTTCAGAACTTTAAATGTAAACAGAATCTATTATTATCCATACTTACATTTACTAAGGCTTGAGAATCTAGTCGGAAATTAAAATCTCCAAAAATAAACTGTGGGACTTTATCATACTGGTCTTCCTCAAACCTAAAGATACAAAAAAAAAATCTACTGGTACTTCATTGGATACTTGTCTCATCGGCAATCATACCACATCTCCTTATTTTTATATTCATAATTAGGAAATGTTATCTGGGTAGTCTAATCCTTTTGAAAAGTGTTTTTATTAGTCAATCATTAGTCTGATTGTCAAGGCAATTTTTTTTCATGACAGAAACATTAAGAAGACAGATGGATATATAAAGGTTAATATGTGTACTGTTATCAAATTATTGTCCGTCACTTTTTATTCAATTTTCAAGTTATAGCATGTCTTAAAGTGTTGGAGACCTCCAGATGACTATTTGATTTAATTATATTGTTGGGTTCCTGTCTAATGGAGGGCTTACTCAAAATCAAAAAGAACTATATCTTTTATCTTAATTCAATCTTTGAGAAGAATTTAATGTTGAAACAGGTTCTAATATAAACAAACATAACGTTACAGTTGTAAAAATAACACACTTCTGAAAACTAAATATATGTTGATTTATGACCTAAGTATACTTATCCTATGTACCTCTTAAGAGTATGTATAAATGCTGCCTTTCTGTTTTTACTGTACTGTGATGGGCTCTGGAAAAAGTAAATTTGTACATATTTACAGAAGATAAGTGTGTTATAAACATTTCTTATCACGATTATTGCAATAATCATAATCTTTGACCTTAAAACAGGTAAACAGTTTGTTTTAGAGGTACTTGAGTTTTTATAACAAGGTTTTATTGTATATATTTAGTAAATTGCAAAGTAATGAACCTCTCTGCTGCCAACTGAGCAAACAATCTCTTGTATTCATTTACAATAGCATTAGAATGGGCTTATATCTGGATAAAACTTTTTACCAGCAAAAATTACAGTATTTTAGTTGGATTTTCCATTCTTACAATGACAAACTATGCTTCACATTTCTCATTCTTACAACGAGTCTGTGTTTCACATTTCACATTCTAACAATGACTGTTAATGCTTCATATTTCCCATTGCAACAATGACAATATAAGCTTCATATTTCTCATTCAGTAACTTTCAGTCACTGCTTTATATTGCCCACTCTTAAATGCCTTATTCTAAATAAATTCTAATATTTTTTAAAAGAGACACCAGAGGATAACTTAAATCAATGTCTGAAAGTTTTTGCAGGCCATAAATGTCTCAGTGCAGTATGTTGGTATTTAGGTGGAATGAATACCAAACATAAAACTTCTATAAATGTCCACAGGGAAATCTGAGCATTAGCCTTTCTCTCATAAATATTTTATATATATTTAAATAGGGCTACATTACTGACAAATCAATATTTGTATACAAATATTAAAATTATCATTTATCCGTGTATAGCCATACAATATTTTGTGCAGAAATTCATATTGGTCTTTAAAACAGAGATTTCTTAGAGGGGCATAAAAAATGTAAATCATCGTTTTACCTGTATGTGAAGGATTTTTTGTGGAATGAATCGGTAAACCAATTTTTCAATGTTGACATTATTTTCTTTTTTTTAATAACCGAACACAGTTAGCACATGCCTAACCTGTGGTCAAATTAAAGGTTGAATGAATACAGATTCAAATGAGTTGAATTACTGACTTGCAAGCCAATAATACAGTGGCAATGTTTTTAAGCATAATTTGACAAAATTGAACCAAATTGACATCTAATAATGAAATTTTTATTTCAATATTCTGCGTTTGTAAATGTTTGATGAACAGACGGACGGAAGGACAGAGACAGACAAGGGTAACACTTAATGACCTCATTGCCTACAGCAGGGACATAAAAACATACTTACAGTTTGCATGGAGATGATATTAGATGCGTCATGGAACAAATGGATGTTTACAAGGTCAAATATGCTGCAAACAAATAATACAGCATGTCAAGACAACATTTCTAATGTGCAAATCTTTACATTAACAACAAATATGTATGAATAAAATTATTTAAAATATCCATCAATGCTTAGAAAGTTATTCTATTTTTCCATGCTACATTGTTCAATACTTTTTACCAAACTTTTTACATCTCATACATTGTCATTACTATTTTTTCCTTTTATCACTATATATTTTCATATTCCAATAGACTTTTTCAATACTCTCTTTTTAAAATCGAGGTGCAAACCAATATTTCTGTTTCTTTTATCCTATTATTCCTAATATACATTGACTTAATCATATCATAACCTTACCAATTTTTGATATTCCACCTTGTTCTTATGAAACCTTTTCTAGACCATTTAAACTGCAAAGAAATTAGTAAATTGAATATCTAATTATTTTTCAATGTTTTAATAAAGACAACTCATTGAGAACTTATTATATATAGTATCCCTTTAATGTTGAACAATTTCTCTAGTTTTTCAATTATATTCTTACTTAATGACACCTATGCTACTAACAATAGGAAGCATAGAGAAAATCAATGAGTAGGTTATGTTTTTAATAAATGCAGTATTTCACAACTTGAGAACCCAATTTAGTCTTATAGACATGAACCAATCAAAACATCTAATCAGAACATCCTTCACATTTTTTGCGATGAGGCCAAGGCCTTAAGGATGTACTTAGGTGAGGTTTTGGAATTTTTGTCAAATGTTTGGACTCCTTGGTTTTTTTCCTATAGGGTAAAACATTTTGCCCCATAACACCCATTTTTCTTTTCATATAAGACTTCAATAGCTCATAAAAGGTCATTTACCAAAATTTAAGCAGATTCTAGATTTCTCTGCTTTTGATTTTCTTTTACATCCTTAAATAATCATGTGTTTCTGATGTTTTTACCAACTCTTTTATCATTGTTCAGAGCATAACTATTTTACTTTTTGTTCAATGCAATTTAAAGAATCACAAACTTTTTAACATTTGATTAATTTTTCATGAAACAAAAAAAATCTTTAAAAGAAATGTACCATAAGCAAAATGAACTGTTGGAGGACCCCAAAATTAACTGATTTAAAAATTAAATTAGCAGGGGCATAGTATCATGTCCTGTGGAAGAATCAATGTATAAAATTAAAATTGAGAATGGAAACGAGGAATGTGTCAAAGAGTTAACAACCCAACCAAAGAGCAGAAAACAGCACATGGCCACCAATGTGTCCAGGTTTAGCATAATTCTGTCTAGCTATTTTCAAGGATATATGAATTAACCAAGTGTGATGCTGAAGACAACTTGAACTCAAGACATAAGTTAGTGATCCCTACACTGTGTGTTGCTACAGCTTTGCTGTCAAGTGACACAAAATTTGAGGGTCCTCAGATACATCAACCTAATAGGAAACCTTTTTAAATTATCACTCAAAATAAACCTTTCCTGAAATATTTGATGTATTACAGAAAATAAAATACAAATATCAGATGGTAAACTTCTGTTCAGGTACATTAAACCATGTGATCATGACTTACATCTGGGAAAAAGTCTTGTGGAAACTTTGCCTTCTCTTTAATTTGTACTGTTTCTATATTCCCTGAGAGAACCTGAAAGCAGAAAAAAAAACAACATTACTACGAAATGTCAAATAGAATAAACAGCTGCTGTGTCATATTTATAAATTCATTCAAGGAAAAGATAAACAAAAAAAAAGTCTAATGCAAAATTTTATAAATTACTAGCTTTTTTTTTCTTTCAAGTAAAATACAATAACACTGCTACTAGAAAAATTAAAAAAAACTTGTCAAAAGAACTACAGACACACAACCTGTCATTCTTAGAAATGCAACTGGTCTGAAACAAAAAAGTCAATGCAAACTTTTTCCTTTTTTTTTGTGCTTTATTTTATAATGAATTTCTTTTCTTTTCACAGAAACATAGTAATCAGTTACTGAAACATGCATTTTATGCATAATATTACAATGCTTGTAAATATAGATTCTTACATTGATACCAGTGGATTATCGGATTTATCCAATCGAGATAGTTGAATTATCAATTTTAAAGTCGAGCCTCGGCGAGGACTTTAAAATTTATAATTTAACTATCGAGATTGGATAAATCTGATAATCCACGAGTAACTATGTAAGAATCTGTTTCTCTAATGATTAAAAAATAAATTTTCCTTTTTTGCTAAACTAAAATCCCCTTCGAGTGCCTTCCACTTTCCATAAAGTTGTCAATTTCATTAACACCTGTTAGCATATTCTGATGCATCCAGTGAGCTGAAAAAGGTTATGACCCTTAAACTCATCCAATCATCATCTGAGATCACTGGCAACCACACGTTGATTAAATTTTTTCATACAATGGGTTCGGAAAGGGATAAATTTCCATAGAATTAGAGAAAAAGAAATATAGAATAAAGGCAAAGATTTACAATGGTTAAGATAAACAACCAACACTTAATTAATACAAAATCATGAACACAACAAAAAATCATTTCAATATACCAGAATATGATTGCATGAAAGGCTGCTTTTTTTTTTGGAAAGCTCATACATATTTCAAACAACAATGTGAGTATGTCTCTTATTGTTATGAAAATAAATGATTCCAAGTATTTCAGCAGTTCTATTAATAACTTTAAAAAAAAAAATGTTTTCAGGGCTATCCTATTGGTATTATAAAATTTCAATATTAAAGAGAGACGAAAGATACCACAGGAACATTCAAACTCATCAGTCAAAAATAAACTGACAACGCCATGGCAAAAAAAGACCAAAAGACAAACAACAGTACAATAACCATTGGAGTATAAAACAGGATTTGTTTTGGCATCATACTAACATATTCTCATCCTGATAAATATATCTTATTCTTCAACAGACATTAAACATGATCATCAATCTTTATTTTTATTAAATCATAAAGACTGAGTGTAACTAGAGGCTCTAAAGAACCTGTGTTGCTCACCTAGGTCTATGTGCATATTCAACAATGGATACTCTCTATCTTTGTGGACTAGACTTTCTGATCTAGTTATGCTGATCATTTTTGCTTATTTAAGTTTCTATCTGTCTTGTATAGTTTTTCAGATAGTAGACAACACGCAAAAAAAATGAAACTAAAGAGAATTACTCAAGGGGTCATCAGACGATTTAAACCATGTTGACTTATTTGTAGATCTTGTCTTGCTAATCATTATTGCTTATTTAAGTTTCTATCTATCTATTATAGTTTTTCCGATAAAAGGCAAAAATGCAAAAAAATTGGTAAAAACCATCATTAATGGGCAATAACTCCAATAAGGAGTCGTCAGACAATTTCAACTATTGACACATTTGTAGATCTTGTCTTGCTGATAATTTTTGCCTATTTAAGTTTCTCTCTATCTATTATACTTTTTCAGGTATTAGGCAAAAACGCAAAAAATTAGTAAAAATCGTCATTAAAGGGCAATAACTCCAATAAAGGGTCATCAGACGATTTCAACCATGTTGATTTATTTGTAGAACTTATCTTGCTGATCATTTTTGCTATATAAATTTCTCTCTATCTATTATAATTTTCAAGATAATGGGCAAAAATTTAAACAATTGATAAAATTTGTCATTTAAGGGCAATAACTCCTGTAAAAAGTCGTCTGACAGTTTGGCGGTAAATGGATAATAGGTAGATCTCATCATTCCAAACATTTCAACCTTTGTCAGATTTTCTCTATTTATAGTGGTTTTCAAGATAATAGACAAAACTTGCATTTTACCTATGTTCTATTTTTAACCATGTCGGCCATCTTGGTTGGTATGCGAGATCATCGGACACATTTTTGAAAGCTAAATACCCTAATGATGATTGTGGCCAAGTTTGGTTAAATTTAGATCAGTAGTTTCAGAGAGGAAGATTTTTGTAAAAGTTGAATGACGACGGACGACGGACACCATGATGAGAAAAGCTCACTTGAAGTGCCAGGTGAGCTAAAAAAGGATATATGTAAAATCATGCACATAACATTTTTTTGTTGTTGTCAGAGCTCAACTTCAATACATTTACATATTACACTATAACTCCTTTCTCTATATCATCCTTTTTATCAATTCAAATTAGTTTTTAAGTTAATAGACAAAACATGCAAAAAGCTTTTCACTCCTAATAAAAAAGCATAGACTTGTGTGTGCAAATATTCAATAATAATGTCTGTGTGCAAATGTTGAATAATAACGTCTGCATTCATATAGTAATAAACTGCTTCGCTGAGCGCAGCTGGATACGCCTGCAGAGGTCCAACCCTGAACAGTTGGGGCAAAAATGGACACATTATTCAAGCTTGATACAGGTCTGAATTTGGATTGTATTAAATATTTGACATATTATAGGTTTCTGAATAAATGTAGTCAAAGAACTTGAAATTGGTTATATGAATTGAATTTATATTCAATTAAAGATTTCTGTCTGTTGTGCAATACACTGTGCTGTTGCGCAATACTTAGTAAATCTGTTGTCAGACTATAAACAATTAAAGTTCAATTAATTCTCAATGTCATATTAGAAATTTATGAAAATGTAAAGGGAGCTTACATCAATAGATATAAACAATTCACCAAAGTTTCATGAGAATTGCTGAAACATTTTTGAGTTATTGTCTGAAAACTGGAAAATCCCCCCTTTTTAAATGAATGAAACCCCATGACTAAGAAATGTAAAATGTAAAATTTATAAAATTCTAAACGGAGCTTACATCAATAGATATAAACAATTCACCAAAGTTTCATAAGAACTGCTGAAAGCTTTTTTGATTTTTTGTCGGAAAACTGGAAAATCACCCTTTTTTTATGAATAAAACCCTGTAACTTGGAAACATAAAATCTAAAATATATAAAAATTGAAAGGGAGCTCATGTGAATAGATATAAACAATTCACCACAATTTCTTGCAAGTTGGTGATAGCATTCTTGAGTTATTGTCCGAAAACTGGAAAATCCCCCTTATTTTAATGAATAAAACCCCATAACTCGGAAACGTAAAATCTAAAATTTATAAAAAACGAAAGAGAGCTCACGTCAATAGATATAAACAATTCACCAAAGTTTTATGCAAATTGGTTAAACCGTTTTTGAGTTAATGTCTGACATGTTGACGACGGACGGACAGACAAGACAGATGGATGGACAGATGGACAATGGTATACCATAATACGTCCCGTCAATGGGCGTATAAAAACTTATCATATAATCCTGCAAAGAGACAGATAGCTTTTTGGAAAGCTAATACTTGTATTGTATACATCTTTAAATTGATCAAAAGTCATGAAATTCTAATATCATCAATCAGCCAAACCCCTTTTTGGTCTATTATCTGTGTATATAATTGATTCATTACCCATCATTATTTCATTTTTACTTCCAGATATTGTAAGTGTTCATTTCAGATATATCTTGTAAAAATTGAAAATCATTCCTAGCATCAAATATTTTTTTCCAAAATGGATTTTTTTCGATCAAGGCAAAAATTGAAAATGCATTCTTCTCCACCTTGGTTTTCAATAACTTCATTCCTCTGAATACACTTTGACTCATACAACTGTCTATGAAAACTCAAAGCTGTGATAATGTACCCATATAAACAAGATGATGTAGAAATTTACCTTCTTACATAAAGTATCTTTGGTATAACACTGTGCAAACATATGAATTGTAATAAATAAAAAATAAAGTTAAAACAAGAGTGCACACGCTGAAATGTCTCGCCTTCTTTACTAACCATTGATATTATGTTGATAGTCCTAAATGAAAGCTTTACTACAACTATTACATAAACTTAACATGATCCAAGAAAATGAAGTCAAGGTCATATAAACCAAACGAGAAATACATGTACACCTTACAATCATTCAATACACTAAATATAGTTGACCTATTGCTTATAGTTTCTAAGAAACAGACTTAACCAAGAAAAGTAAACATTGACCAATGAATCCTGAAAATGAGGTCAAGGTCAGATGAACCATGCCAGGCAGACATGAACAGCTTACAATCCTTCCATACAACAAATATAGCTGAACTATTGCTTATAGTTTAAGAAAAACAGACTGAAACACATATATAAACTTAACCTTGAGCGATGAACTGTGAAAATGAGGTCAAGGTCAAATAAAACCTGCGAGACTGTCATGTACATTATAGAATATTTCCATACACCAAATATAGTTGACTTATTGCATATAGTATAAGAAAAAAGACCAAAACTCAAAAACTTAACTTTGACCACTGAACCATGAAAATGAGGTCAAAGTCAGATGACACCTGCCAGTTGGACATGTACACCTTACAATCATTCCATACACCAAATATAGTAGACCTATTGCATAAAGTATAAGAAAAACGGACCAAAACACAAAAACTTAACTATAACCACTGAACCATGAAAATGAGGTCAAGGTCAGATGACACCTGCCAGCTAGACATGTACACCTTACAATCATTCCATACACCAAATATAGTAGACCTATTGCATACAGTATAAGAAAAACAGACCAAAACACAAAAACTTAACTATAACCACTGAACCATGAAAATGAGGTCAAGGTCAGATGACACCTGCCAGTTGGACATGTACACCTTACAGTCCTTCCATACACCGAATATACTAGACCTATTGCTTATAGTATCTGAGATATGGACTTGACCACCAAAACTTAACCTTGTTCACTGATCCATGAAATGAGGTCGAGGTCAAGTGAAAACTGTCTGACAGGCATGAGGACCTTGCAAGGTACGCACATACCAAATATAGTTATCCTATTACTTATAATAAGAGAGAATTTAACGTTACAAAAAATCTTAACTTTTTTTTCAAGTAGTCACTGAACCATAAAAATGAGGGCAAAGACATTGGACATGTGACTGACGGAAACTTCGTAACATGAGGCATCCATATACAAAGTATGAAGGATCCAGGTCTTCCACCTTCTAAAATATAAAGCTTTTAAGAAGATAGCTAACGCCGCCGCCACCACCGCCGCCGCCGGATCACTATCCCTATGTCGAGCTTTCTGCGACAAAAGTCGCAGGCTCGACAAAAACCATGATTGTCATATTATGTTATGTTTTCTGCTTTATGCAACTAAAAACAAATTTGGATTGCCTGCTTCCAAAAATAAAAATATTAAGATGGAAAAACCCCCAACAAATTTATACCCACTAAACAACACTGAAAGGGAAATAATTCAAATAGGTTATCTCCCCTTTATTATATACTAGCAAATATTTGTCAATGCAACTTTGTGTAACACCACAACATAAGAGAAAAAAGAATGTTGTCACAAAATAAAATGAAATAACTCTGCAACAACAGCTGTGGTGGCAGAAGACATATACAAAGACACCCAGTAAGGGCAGATCTAGATGTCTGAAAATCTGTGCTTTAAGTAAGTTTTTTTCTGATTTTTGACTACTATTCACTTATATCTATGTAGCCCTTTCTTCCCCTTCTGATCCACACATTATTTTGAAGGAAAATGGCCAAAGCAAATATTATTTTCAAATATGTTTAACATGGTAAAAATGAATTCAGAAATACAACTGCAATACATTCGTTCACACAAGAAATTAGAAAGTGTTGACAGTGATATTTTACAGGTAATGTAGGAAACCCTACAGTAGAATAACATGAGAAATATTATCATCATAGTTACATCAACTCACCTCTCTTCCAACAACTGGTATAAATTTACAGTCTGTAAAAGAAAACAAGCAATGATTTATCAAGAATATCTGGTGTCTAAAAACAAACAAACATTATTTCTTTTATTTCAATAGTAATTAACAAAAGCTTGCCTCAGATGACATATCAAACAACAACATGGATTCAAAGGACACTATGTCCCTCTCACACCATCATATGTCCGTGTTCATAGAAACATGAAATCAGGGTCAAAACTATAATTTGGTATATAGTTTTAAAAAAAACATACACTACAGTGATCATGCGTAATAAGTTACAAGTTGATGTGACAACAACTTAATGGTAAACTACTGTCACCAAAAAGTGGCAGAAACTCAATCTGATAATGTACATATTTCACACTATCTAAGGTATTACCTTATATTCTTTTATAGTACTGGTGGCAATATTACTTGGTGGGTGGGGTATATATTACCTTTGATACCATGTTTGGTTCAAAATGATGTGACATGCAGTTTTCTTAAGATAAGCTACATGAATATACCCATTAAGTACTACGTAAAATGATGTTTCCAGTGGCAGGATATATGCTTACTTAGTGTACCATAAGTATACCAAATATAATTCCAAAAGACAGATATATGTACATCCAGTGTAAAATGCAAACAATGCAAAAATTTCAGAGTTAATGGACCATGACTAAGAGAATGGGACCAAATAATATTCAAAGAAGTCAGATATTCTAATGATTATCAACTGCCAAACATATATCATTAACTTCTCATTAATTGAAATTAACTAGTCACAAAATATAACAATTGTTGATGTCACTGCCAACCAGGATTAGTACACACAAATCTGTACTCCACGACTTTCTTGAGTGAGACAAAAGTCATGTACCCATTATAGCAAGCTTGGGTCTATGGCCAACATCTAATAAGTGTAATAGTGGTGCTTAATCTAATTTAAATACAAAATTGTCAGAATCCTTAAGATTATTATTGATCCTCTTTACACTTACTCCTTCAATAGATGCAAGTAATGGCAATAGCAAACACAAGGCCTTTGGCAAGGATAATCACATATTAGGTTTTATGCTCAATGCTCTAATTTTATCAAATATGCATGAAATATTTGCCAAGGAACATAGAGCAAACAGCAATCAATCAACCTAATTTCATGTGAAAAGGTTTCACTAATATGGTTAGAAAGATAATCTACAGCTTGCAATTTAATATATTAAACTGCTGTCAAGCATTTGCAAATTAATATAGTAAACTGCTGTCAAGCATTTGCAAATTAAACAAACAACTTGGTTAATCTTTGATAAGAATGATTAAATGATTAAAAAAGAATTAAATTATCAGCAGGATTTTTCTGATGTAATAGGCACATGTGCATGTGATGAAACAATAAATACCCAAGTAAAAGATAACAGTCTGATAAATATGAAAATATACTGACGTAATAATCAAATTGATAATTATCTAATATGAATAAGCTATATTGTTTGATATTAAACTATTGATGTTTATAGAAAGTCAGCATATTGCTGGGTTATCACCCTCTCTCTCTCTCTCTCATATCAACCTGATTTTTAAGCTTCACAATTTCATATTTTAAATGGCTCGGTCTGATAATTTTGTTTTAAAACAGCTTTAACTCAGTTAACTTAATCTATAAATCATAAAATGGTGTTCAGTATTCATAGGACAAGACAACTTTACATTTTCATATTTGATTAATGATTCCAGTATGCACTGATGATATGTCATTTAGCCCCTTGTAATTCAGATGGTGGTATAGCCTATATACTATAGGGTATATTTTTGGAGACTAGTAGATAGCAGAAGTAAAAATTCTCTTACTTTGAACACCAACTAATTAAGACTTACATTTTGCTAAAAAGAATACTGGTGTTAAACTATAGCCCTAGTCATAAATGTATATAAAACCTTATATTAAGTGGCATTTATGTAAAATACCCTGTAGCTTTTTGTGAATTCCTTGCTGTTATTTGACAATTGTTAAAGTAAAATAAAAAGAGAAATACTTTTAAATATTATAAGTTTAAATAAGCAGAAAAAAAATAAATCAGTAAGCAAATGTTTAATGTATTCAAGTACTATTTTCAAAAGAGAAAGGTCAAAATATAAAATTAAAATACAAAGTGTTTATATCACTAAACAAATATTAAGGCATAGAAATGTTTACATAAATTCTGGTTCATTCTATCATTTTCAACACTACAAAGAAAACTTTATATTAATTAAGTGTGCGCAATAATTTATCAAAACAAAATGCATTTTGGAGAAAAGAAATCAACTCTCCTTAATATATATGGAAACACCATTTTAAATAACTATTTTAATATTTGCCCTTTTTATACAGGAAACTGATATCAATCAAAATTCTAATTTAATTAAACGACAATTAAAACTATAAAAAGACAACAACATCCTGGATTACTGCAAGGAAATGCTTTATTCTGGTCTACATGTTTCATCTTCATGACAATTCAATGATAGGAAACAAGTGCTGAAGTACATAAAATGCGGTTCATATTGGGTTACAAAAAGGTTACAAGACCTAACGTCACAATTATTGGTTTGACAACGTTAAAATGAAAGTGAAAGTAAAAGTCAATAATGAATTGTCAGTAACAATTGTTAGATTTTTGGTACACAAATAATACTTATACAATAACGGTTGCGGCATAAACATGTTTTGACTGCTGTTATAATGTTGAAGGTCAATGAAATAGAAGATCAAGGTCAAATGAAACCTGTCAGACACATTTGGCAATCCTGATAATGAATTCAAATCTTGTTGACTTATGAAAACTGACCTACATCAAACTTTAAACCTGACCACTGAAGCTTAAATATGAGATAAAGTCCGTACCATACATGTCAGATTGATATATACAACCACAAGACCAGACAGACATTTGACTACATACAAATTTTATTGATCCGACTTGCATACATGTAGTTACTGAGAAAATCTTATTCTGAAAACTTACTTTCTAGGAAAATAAAGTCATAATTATGTAACAATGACTGATTGACAAGATCTTGTCATATACAACGCCATACAAATTTTGATGATTCTAAGAGCAAGAGGAGATGGGATATAAAGGTGTTTACAATGGTCAATGCCACCATCCTTACCACTGCTAGCAAAGTAATACATTTGGCCTGTAGCTAGAATGTCCCTGAGAGGTGACAACGCCCTGACTTTAATTATCAACCTTCAATCTGAACCATGACTTTAATAGTCTTTAATAGTATTTTGTTTTCAAAAGGGGGCTTGTTTGAAGCCTTTACCTCTATAAAATACTGTACTCCAATGCGAGACAAAAATGATCTGCCAAATATTGCAAAAGTATTTTTCTGGTGCAACCAATGTTCATTAAATCTTATTTTAGCAGAGCCTCCATTCCTTAACAGACACTTGTTTCGTTTCTTGACTCTTGTTGACCTCTAGATGACTCTTCCTTTATTGAATGGTTGCCTTGTTGTCTCATTAGAATATACCCAATATCTTCTTTTATTTAAATTGAAACCAAACACACTTCAAGACATACTAAATTTTGTATATAGTTATATTAGTATGTGCACCTCAAAAAGTTATAATACTCTGTGATTTTTCACTAAAATAGCTCATAAAATACCACTGAACTTTTTTAAAGGAAGCATAACAATTTGGAATAAAATAAAAACAATACTTTAAGCTGAAATGCTTTTTCTTTCTTATAAAGATTTTCATCAAAAGATGAAATTTTATTTTTTTGTCAATACTGTAGTACCTGCTGATTTTTTAATATCAAGGTAACAATAATAAATTATAAAAGGTTTCATATATAAGGTAAGCTAAGTTTTATTTAATTAGGTTAATAGTTACATTTTCCCTTTATCAAATGTTTAAAAATCTAAATATAGTATAGTAATTCAAACTATGGGTGTGGATCAGTTCTATCTAATCTATTACTGAATATTTTGATTTCTCTGACAAAAGTTAAAATAACAATCCAAATATCAAATTTACACTGAATTAAATTTTCACTTTTGACCTTTTTGGGGAACATATATAATCAGCCTATTTATAATGAGTTTTTAAAAGAGCTGAAAAAATTCTACCTCATAAAGAATTTAAATACATGAATAAATTTTGAATTTTTTAACCGACTCATTTGTTAATCTGAGACATTAAATTGTTTCCACGTTACAGTTTACATTAATATGAGGCAAAAAAACTACTCCTGGGAGGCTGGGATACCAGATGTAAATGCAGGTGATCTATGGAGGCACTGCTGCAAATGTGGTATTACTGGTAACCAAGGGTAATGCCTAATACCAAATCAAATAATAGTGATATACTGTGTACCTCTAATGAATAATAAAGTTAAAACCCCCTTTATATCCTAGAAAAAGTGGTAGAAAGTAAGGATGTAAAAGGGGCATGCAAGAAATTTTAAACCTATTTTGTTCGATTGTGGTGAAAGCTGATGCCAGTCTTTGTCTTTTAAAAAGTAAAATAGGGAGATGTTACATACATTTTAATAAGACAGCAACACAACATGGAAAACAGTTAAATGCAGCATAATAAAGTGTTATTTTATACAAGCCTGACTGCTTATAATTTAAGTTACTTTCTAATAGATTTGTATACTATGAAAAGATTAGCACACACTGACATCCATTATTACTTACCTACAAAGTCCCATATAGATATATCTTCTACACTTTCATGGACGAAGTAAAGGTTACCTAAAGCCTGAAATATAAAGCAGACAAACTAAACAGGACTTTTCCCCTTAATCGACAATCACAAACAGCTGAATGGATGAATGGATGATCAATCTGATATAATGGCATTCAATGTACACCAAACATTATTGACCTATTGCAGCATCTGAAAATAGACCAAACTATGAAAAAATTAATGTTGAACAATGAACCATGAAAATGAGATCAAGGTCAGATGAACCCTGCTAGACAGAAAAAAAAACCTTATAATCATTTCATACACCAAAAATAATTGACCTATTACTTATCGTATCTGAGAAACAGACCTCGCCACAAACATTAATGTTGACCTATGAACCCCAATGAGGTCAAGGTAAGATGAACCATGCTAGACAGACATGTACACCTTACAACCACTAAATACAAAAGATATAGTTGACCAATTATTTATATTATCAAAAGAACTAACCTACCTTAAAAAGTAAGACCAGTTGACCAGTGAAAATCATGTAAATGAGGCCTGCCAGACTTTTATATACATGCATTCCATAAACCAAATATAGTTTATGCTTATAGAATCTGAGAAGGGGACATTACCATGAAAACTGAATGTTGCTCACTGATCAATAAAATCAAGGTCATGTGAACCCTGTCCAACAGACATGTAGACCATGCACTGATTCTATATATAAAATGTATTAATCCTATTGCTCATAATAAATGAGAATAAAATGCTTCGCTGGGGCGCAGCTTGATACGACCGCAGAGGTCGAACCCTGAACAGTTGGGGCAAGTATGGACACAACATTCAAGCTTGATACAGCTCTGAATTTGGATTGTTATTAAATATTTGACACAGCATAGGTTTCTGACACAGAAAGAATGTGGTCTAAGAACTTCAATTTTTTTAATTTACCTATTATGGTCCAATGTCCAAAATCAAAATGCATGGTTAGATTCAGCATATCAAAGAACCCCATATATTCAATTTTTGTTAAAATCAAACAAAGTTTAATTTTGGACCCCAACTTGGACAAACTTGAAAACTGGGCCCATAATCAAAAATCTAAACACATGTTTAGATTCAGCATATCAAAGAACCCCAAGAATTCAATTTTTGCTAAAATCAAACTAAGTTTAATTTTGGACCCTTTGGACCTTAATGTAGACCAATTTAAAAAATGGGACTTAAAATTAAAAATCTAAATACACGGTTAGATTTGGAATATCAAAGAACCCCAATAATTCATTTTTTGATGAAATCAAACAAAGTTTAATTTTGGACCCTTTTGACCTCAATATGAACCAATTTGATAGCGGGGCCCACAAATAAAAAATCTAAATTCATGGTTAGATTCAGCATATCAAAGAACCCCATATATTCAATTTTTGTTGAAATCAAAAAAAGTTTAATTTTGGACCCCAACTTGGACCAACTTGAAAACTGGGCCCATAATCAAAAATCTAAACACATGTTTAGATTCAGCATATCAAAGAACCCCAAGAATTCAATTTTTGTTAAAATCAAACTAAGTTTAATTTTGGACCCTTTGGACCTCAATGAAGACCAATTTAAAAAACGGGACCCAAATTAAAAATCTAAAAACACGGTTAGATTTGGCATATCAAAGAACCCCAATAATTCAATTTTCGATGAAATCAAACAAAGTTTAATTTTGGACCCTTTTGACCTCAATATGAACCAATTTGATAGTGGGGCCTACAAATAAAAAATCTAAATACATGGTTAGATTCAGCATATAAAAGAACCTCATATATTCAATTTTTGTTGAAATCAAACAAAGTTTAATTTTGGACCCAAATTTGGACCAACTTGAAAACTGGGCCCATAATCAAAAATCTAAATACATGTTTAGATTCAGCATATCAAAGAACCCCATATATTCAATTTTTGTTGAAATCAAACAAAGTTTAAATACTGGACCCTATCTTGGACCAACTTGAAAACTGGGCCCATAATCAAAAATCTAAACACATGTTTAGATTCAGCAAATCAAAGAACCCCAAGAATTCAATTTTTGTTAAAATCAAACTAAGTTTAATTTTGGACCCTTTGGACCTCAATGTAGACCAATTTAAAAAACAGGACCCAAAATTAAAAACCTAAATACACGGTTAGATTTGGAATATCAAAGAACCCCAATAAATCAATTTTAGATGAAATCAAACAAAGTTTAATTTTGGACCCTTTTGACCTCAATATGAACCAATTAGATAACGGGGTCCACAAATAAAAAATCTAAATACATGGTTAGATTCAGCATATCAAAGAACCCCATATATTCAATTTTTGTTGAAATCAAACAAAGTTTAATTTTGGACCCCAATTTGGACCAACTTGAAAACTGGGCCAAAAATCAAAAATCTAAATACATGTTTAGATTCAGCATATCAAAGAACCTCATATATTCAATTTTTGCTAAAATCAAACAAAGTTTAATTTTGGACCCTTTGGACATTAATGTAGACCAATTTGAAAACTGGACCCAAAATTAAAAATCTAAATACACTGTTAGATTCGGCATAACAAATAAATAAATGTGATCAAAGATTTTACAAATCTAATGCGCCATACTGTGCAATTAAAGATTACTTCTTGAAATTTTTCAATATTTGAAATTTGAAAAAAAAAAAATATTTGAAGAATAATTCTTTATAATTTCTGAAATCTGAAATGAGAAAAAATTGGCCCCCCACAATTTCTTTTTATCCCCCCCCCCTTTTTCCCCCCAAATAATTCTTTCCCTCAAGATATGGTCATAATCTCAATTCAAATTTCCAATGGAGTTGGCAACCATAATTACCCATTTAAATTTACCATAGTGCTAACTTAATCTATTTTATAATAGAATTAATAAAAATATAGTGTCAAATCTTTCATGTAAAAAAAAAAGATGAAAACATTTGCAGATATTTTTACTGGTCTTCCTTTATAAATATGCATTTCTTTAAACATAATTTAAAAGCAGTGTAAGGGAAGTAACCAAAACGTTGTATTTGGATTACCTCCCTTACACTGTTTTAGATTATCTTTATTGTTCATTAACCATTACTTTATACATAATTTAAAAGCAGTGTAAGGGAGATAATTTCAATGATGTATTTGATTTATCTCCCTTACACTGCTTTAAATTATGTTTTGTACTAAAGTATTTGTCCATTAACCAGGACAACCTTGTTTTTCCCCCTTTTTTGCCCCTAATTCCTAAACGGTTTGAGCCATAACCCCCCAAAGCAAATCCTAACCATCCCTTTGTGGTATGGAAACTTGTAGCATAATTTCAGAGAGATCCATACACCGTTCCACAGTTATTGTCTGGAAACTAGAAAATGCTCATTTTTGGCCCCTTTTTGGCCCCTAATTCCTTAACTGTTGGTACCATAACCCCCAAAATCAATCCCAACCTTCCTTTTGTGGTATTTAACCTTATGGTCAAATTTCAAAAAGATCCATTCACTTAAACTAAAGTTAGAGTGCGAAAACCAATATGTATTCGGACGACGACGCCGACGACGACGCCAACGTCATACCAATATACGACCACAAAATTTGTTTGCGGTCGTATAAAAACATGTAATAACAAGAATGTGTCCATAGTACACGGATGCCCAACTCACACTATCATTTTCTATGTTCAGTGGACCGTGAAATTGGGGTCAAAACTCAAATTTGGCATTAAAATTAGAAAGATCATATCATAGGGAACAGGTGTACTAAGTTTCAAGTTGATTGGAATTCAACTTCATCAAAAACTACCTTGACCAAAAACTTTAACCTGAAGCGGGACAGACGGACGAACGAACGGACAGACGGAAGGACGAACAGACCGATAAACATAATGCCCCTCTACTATCGTAGGTGGGGCAAAAAAAAGATATAATTTTAAAGCAGTTGCTAAACCATTAACATGAGGTCAAGAACAACAGACATATGCCAGATGGAAACTTCAGAACATAAGGCAGCTGTATAAAAAATATAAAGTATCCAAGTCTTATACCTTTCTTATAAAGCTGTATACAAATAGTATAAGCAGTTGTCTCCCAAATTAAAATCCCAATGCCACATTCATCACAGGTGATAACAATCAAAGTGCTGGATAGCAGCTGTGGAAAGTTTGCAACGGTAGATGTGTATTATTTCATATAGGTTGTAGATGTGTATTATTTCAAATATGTATTTAATAACAGCTTTGATGTTTTTTTTACTAAATCATTGTTTCATCAGCAATTATCAAAAATCACTTTTTTTCATATGTTTGTCATGTAAAATTTTGATATTTTCTATTGCAACCTTAAACTGTAGATTTAAAATAATCCAGTATACAGAAAGCTCTGTTAATTTCTTTATGTGCTTATCCCATGTCAAGGGCCTGTGATTTTAGTATTTTTTATTGATTCAGGTCCTTCATATTTGTTTTTAGTAAATTGTATTGTTACTAATTAAGCCGTTAGTTTTCTTGTTTGAATTGTTCCACATTTTTCATATTAGGGCCTTTTATAGCTTACTATATGGTACGAGTTTTTCTCATTGTTGACGACCAATGGTGACCTATAATTGTTTATATATCTTCCTCCTTTGAACTCTTTTGGATAGCTGGTTCATTTGCAAAAAATACCACATCTCCTATTTTAAATATTAAAGACAGCAAACTTAAATCAATACAACTGTAACGAAGGTGATTTTATATGAAAGGCTTTAACCAACAATGGCAATATGTAGACAGGATACACTAGATTCATAGAGGTACCTATAACCATGTAATACATTTTAGTTGCTGCTGTGAAATTCAGCATTGAGGCAATGACATTTTGAGATTTTTGGTTTTCAGCCATTCATTTGATATAATCATTGCCTCTGTGTTGAGTTGACACATTGTTAATTATAGGTCAATCTAAAAGAATCATACTGACCCAGGAACAAAGTGTGAGGTTCATAAGTGTAAATTCTGAAATTGAATGTCAAGGTCAGTATGATGCTTCTGCATACAAAGTTTTGCAATTAAAGTG